CCAATCACTGCAAGCACCTGGTTGACTTTGTCAGCTTGGTGTTGAGAAGCCATCGTCGGTCTTTGTGTTGTAATTCTGTCAACAAGGCGAACGCACATGAGAGACGGAACCCGGTCACAAAGAACAAAGAAAAAACAAGAAAACAAAAACGCTTACCCGCTGGGGGCGAGATGTACCGGCGCGGCTCATCTGTAATGTATATATGTGTAAAGTTTCTAGTCTCAAACAGCTAGGACAGGAAAGACAAGAAGGGGAGGGGGTGTCACTGAATCATCCAAAAGCCAAGCCAAACAGAAAATCAAGTGAGTATTCGAGAACAAAGAACAACAAAAATAACACGAAAAAAAAAATAAACCGAAAAAAAAACGAAAAGAAAACGACAAGGAGAAAGTAACGAATGTCTGCTCGAGATCGCGGGAAACCAGATCGAAAACGGGAAAGACAGAAAGCATGTTGAAAGGGGATCGTGTCACGATGGCAGGCGGTAGGGCTGGGGAAAGCCACACAAAGATGGCGATGACGAGATGAAACCACAGCCGAGACAAAAAAAAAAAAGCGATCTGCACTTTTTGGCTGTTCAGAGCTTTTTGATCTGACATCAGCACCGCGCACCGCCCCCCCCCCTGCGATCGCTCTGGCTGCGCACGCATGGGGATGGAAGCGATGAGCAGGGGCAGCACAAGCGGCAAGCGCGATCGTGCGTGCCCAGCAGCGAAAAGAAAAAGCAAACCATTTGCGTTCAGTGGCTGAACAAATGGATGAGCAGAGAAAAAAAAAAAACTTGAAAAAACTCGTGGCAAAAAAAAAAAAAAAAAAAAAAAACGAAATGGAATCGAATGGAAGGTCTGGTTGCGAAAAAACGTCACACGCAACGAGCGTTTTGTGTTGGACGCTTGAGCCACGGTTTGTGTGAACGCTGGAACAGGACCAGCACGTCATGACAGAGTGGTGGCTGGGCGACGCAGCAAGATGAAACAAAAGGAGGCGAAAAAAAAAAAAAAAAAAAAAAAAAAAAAGAACCTGCATTAAAAAAAATAAATAAAAAAAAAGAAACGCCACAGCTCGACGGCGGAAGACGAGATTGCGAGGCGCGCAGCAGATCGCACTGCATGCTAGACGACAGAAAACGATTGTGGCAAGGGTGGGGGAACAACAACAGGGCACAGGCACGAACGCCAGGAGCATTGGGGCGCGCGGAAAAAGAAAAGGGTGCAAAGAAAAAGCAGCATGGCTTGAAACGCGTCAGTCCGAAAAAAAAAAAACCAAACGCAATGAAGAAAGAGAAAAACATACAAGTTGACTGAACCTGAACGAACATAAATTTTTTTGTTGTTGTTGTTGTTGTTGTTCTAAAAAATGAAATGACTAAGTAAAGGCCAGAGGAAGGTGAATGACACACGTGTGCTTTTATGGCTTTACTTGTGCAGCTTGGTATGAGAGAGTTGTTTTCAAGGAGAGCGAAGGAGCGATGGGCAAAGAGCGTTTGTTTGTTTTCCGCCACAAATGTTCCAGTTGCCGATGCGCTCCAGTGCTCAACCAGCAGTCTGATTGCCACGGGACTTGATTCCTTCGACGTAAAATATTATTCGTTGCTCCGGATAAATGCTTCGCAATGGAAACACG